CAATAAAATCTTTATAAAAAAAAAGATTTGTCCTTACAGCTCAAACAACTAAGGCTAACCAGACTTAATCCTACTAACATAATGAGTTTTTAACAAGAGTATCAGTGCAATCCTCAAACACCTGAATTGTAAAAAGTTAACAACTAGGAGTAATACATTTTAATTTTCCACTGAGTTATTTATGAAACTTCTTTGTTTAGATAATAAGTAAGCTAATCATGTGTTCAGTTTGCTCAACATGTCTCTAGTAATGCTGAGATAATTTCCTTATAAGGAAATTATGGAAAGAACATAGGTCAAATATAGAAAAATATGACATTAATGTAACTATCTGTCTTACTGGAAGCCTTAGGATATACAACAAAATATATGACATTAGCCTGTATTTTCAATCCTCCCAAATCCATCACTGAGAGTAATTTCAGTTTTACTTACTGTGTAGTATCTACATCTGCATCAGGTTTGGTGCTCAACTGTTCCAGACAATATATAAAAATCTAAGTAAAAAAATAAGAAGATTCAGTGGCATGAACTCTTAGATGCTAATCCATTTGGACATTAAAAGTAATTGTATGTAAATTAAAAAAAACCAGAAACACATATCCTATAAGAGGTGTCTATGTATATACGCATACTCGTATATATGTATATATATATCTCCCATAAGTAATATAGATCCCACCAGTGTATGTGGCATAAGTGATAGAAAAATAAAAGCATCTATACTGTGATCCAAATATTGAATTCTCATATATATTTTATGAAAAACACCTTTTCTTTTATCTCACTCACATGCTCACCCATGCTTACCTTTCTTTATGTGACCACAAAACACTGGTGCCAATCAGAGAACATCACATTCTAGACACGTGTAAACAACTACCATGTCATTTAGTCTGTGTTCCAACAGAAATACAGATAAAGTACCATGAGAACACACAACAGAGGAGCACAACAGAAATGAAATATTGGGGTATTGCTAAAACAAACTGGAATTAATCTTAACCTTGAATTTTATTTTGTTACCTTATTTACTATACACTATTAAGTACTGATGATGAAAAATGAATACATCCTTAATATGTTTTACATATGTATTATAAATAAAGGGAAGGTGACAAATAATTTGCATTATTTCAGGCTCAGGATGTCAGCGCTTTTTTTTTGTTACCTGCATGATATTGATGCTCAGCTGGCACACCTCCTCCTGTGTTTTAGGTTGTTGAAAGACCTATAAGGAAGAATTTCGATGAAAAATTTCAGACTTGGCTAAGAAAACAAAACTTTTGTTTATGAAGTTCAACATAAAAAGTTAACACATGGAAAACTGCCTCCAGTGTGGGAAATCTTGCTCTGAAGAGGGCTGCACATG